TTCAGTTCAAGTATTGTCCTAGATTCAGTTCAAGTATTATCCTAGATTCAGATAAAATATTATCCTAGCTTCAGATAAAGTATCATCCTAGCTTCAGTTAAAGTATTATCCTAGCTTCAGTTAAGTATTATCCTAGCTTCAGTTCAAGTATTGTCCTAGATTCAGTTAAAGTACTATCCTAGCTTCAGTTAACGTATTATCTTAGCTTCAGTTAAGTATTATCCTAGCTTCAGTTCAAGTATTGTCCTAGCTTCAGTTCAAGTATTGTCCTAGATTCAGTTAAGTATTATCCTAGCTTCAGTTAAAGTATTATCCTAGCTTCAGTTCAAGTATTGTCCTAGCTTCGGTTAAACTATTATCGTAGCTTCAGTTCAAGTTGTATCCTATCTTCAGCTCGAGTATTACCGTAGTAGCAGTACAAGTATGATCTTTACACCAATACAATTATTTATATAAAGCAGTTCAAGTATTATAGTAGATTATGTACATATGTGATTCTATCGTTAGCAAAGTATAATTCTAACACCAATAAAAATATTTTTATGGTAGTTTAAATATTATCCTAGCTTCAGTTCTAATACGATCCTAGCGTCAGTATAAGCATGATCTTAACATCAATAAAATGATTTATTATAGTAGTTTAAGTATTATCCTAGCATAAGTACAAATATTATTCTAGCTTCAGCTCAAAATTATCTTTGTTTAAGTTCAAGCACTTTTCTAGCTTCTGCTTAAGCATTATCCTAGCGTCATGACTGGTATGATCCTAACATAAATATAAGTATTTCTTCAGAGCAATTCAAGTATTACCCTTGAGTTAGAAAAAGTGTTATCCTAACCTCATTAAAAAATTTTCTTTATAGCAAATCAAGTATTATACAGCTTCACTACAAGTATGATCCTAGCGTTAGCATAGATATGATCCTAACAGTGGTCGGTGTAATTTTCTAAAGTAATTCAAGTATTATCTGTGAGTCAATATATATGATCCTAACATCAATAAAAATATTTTAGCGTTAATCGATGGGTTATCCTGGCATCAGTAAAAGTATTTTGAGATATTGACTTTGGATATTTCTAACGTATTTTCTTGGAGCTAGTTCCTGCAGTAACCTAGTACAATATTATTTCAGTGTACATTTTATTTTGTAAATATGTGATACCCAAAACATCAAATTAACCGTTTATTGTAAGTTACATCAAATTTAGTAAACTAACATTTTTAAAACAACTTGAATAAACCTGATGCAAGTTTGCAAAATTATTTAACTTACAATAAACGGTTAATTTGATGTAACTTACAATAAACGGTTAATTTGATGTAACTTACAATAAACGGTTAATTTGACGTAACTTACAATAAACGGTTAATTTGATGTAACTTACAATAAACGGTTAATTTGATGTAACTTACAATAAACGGTTAATTTGACGTAACTTACAATAAACGGTTAATTTGATGTAACTTACAATAAACGGTTTTTGTTAGATGTGAATAGGATAAAAAAAATCGCTCTTGTTTGATCTAAAGCATTTTCGTAAAGTTTTATAAATTATTTTTGTAGTATACTCATGCTCCAGGTATAAATATAACTTTCTATTGGACTACGAACAAAACTTTCTATACTAGTTAACAAATAACGAGATCTTGTTGAACCTTAATGCAACCTTTTCACCAAGTAAGAAGGTTTTATGTGGTGTATGTAGCATGCATTTAGACAAGTAAGAAGTTTTTGATAAACCTAAAAAACTTCCAACCATATATAAATATTTAATTTAACAAAATTTTAAAAGCTTGTCTCCACGTAGAAAAATCTTGCATAAACTGTTTAGTAGGCTTTTCACCAAGCAACAAATGTTTTAACATATCACGTAAAAAATGATTTATTTTAATATCTTTTATAGGTTTTATTTTAACATTTAAAGGTTTCTTATCACATAGAAATGCGAAACGTACTTTCGATCTCCATTCTAAAGAGTTTGAAAGTGTAAAGAAAAACGAAATTATTTAATATATAGAAAGTCCACAGAATGTTTGATTGATACATAAAAACCATATTACATCTATATATCTCAATCTTAGATAACAACTGAAGGTATAGGTTTTACCTATGTATCCAAGGTCTGACTCTGAATTGGTGAAGTTTACTGGAAGTTGGTTCTCTTGAATCACACTTGTCGGTTCTTCTTTCACTATAAAATACAAATGAAAGTCACACAGGACTAGTTTTCTTTCATGAAAACACTTTTTTATCACTTCCCGCATACAAAAATAGCAGCTATAGATCTACTTTCACTGCACTATATTTTCACACCTAACTACGACATTCATCCATTAATACACTTTCCTACCCAGCTACGGCCGCCTGTTCACCCATTTATACACTGTAGTACATTTTCAATCTAACTACATCCATCTGTTCACCCATTTATACACTGTAGTACATTTTCAATCTAACTACATCCGTCTGTTCACCCATTTATACACTGTAGTACATTTTCAATCTAACTACATCCGTCTGTTCACCCATTTATACACTGTAGTACATTTTCAATCTAACTACATCCATCTGTTCGCCCATTTATACACTGTAGTACATTTTCAATTTAACTACATCCGCCTGTTCACCCATTTATACACTGTAGTACATTTTCAATCTAACTACATCCGTCTGTTCACCCATTTATCACTGTAGTATATTTTCAATCTAACTACATCCGTCTGTTCACCCATTTAATGGGTGAACAGACGGATGTAGTTAGATTGAAAATATACTACAGTGATAAATGGGTGAACAGACGGATGTAGTTAGATTGAAAATGTACTACAGTGTATAAATGGGTGAACAGACGGATGTAGTTAGATTGAAAATGTACTACAGTGATCTCCTTTGTTCTACATTTTCTCATGTATCTGTGACCAACAATTTACCCATCCTACATTGTACTACATTTTCGCATCTAGATACGACCATTCCTTCACATATTCTCCGATGATTTACATTTCCCATTCAAGATAAAACCACTCATTCATACAGTCTCTTTTGTACTACATTTTCTCATCTAGTTACGAACATCTCTCATGTATTCCCTATTGTACTACATTTTCTCGTCTAGTTACGAACATCTCTCATGTATTTCCTATTGTACTACATTTTCTCGTCTAGTTACGAACATCTCTCATGTATTTCCTATTGTACTACATTTTCTCGTCTAGTTACGAACATCTCTCATGTATTTCCTATTGTACTACATTTTCTCGTCTAGTTACGAACATCTCTCATGTATTCCTATTGTACAACTAACTACGCTATCCATTCTCCATTGCATTTAATTTCACGTAATTCTACGACCACTCATTCTCCATCACATTTTCCCATCTACCTACAGTCACTCGTTCACCCATTCACTTTTGCACTACATTGCCCATTTAACTATGTCCGTCCCTTCATCCATTCCCCAGTACTTACTGCAATTTTCTATCTAATTAAAGCCACTGATGCATCTTTTCTCCATTGTACTACTTTTCCTCATCTAGCTACTACCAAGCGTTCAACCATTAATACATTGTAGTACATTTTTCCATCTAGCTACAACTACCCGTTCACCAATTCTCCATTATACTACACTTCCCACCAAACTACGACACCCAGACATTCATTCATTAATACACTGAACTACGTTTTTTTACATACAGCTATGGCTGTACGTTCACCTATTCTCTATTGTAGTAAATATAACGAAGTAAGAACATCAGTCTGTTCACCCATTATCCATCATAGTAGATCTTACCATAAACTACAACCACCCTTTCACCCACTTTCCATTATATTATATGTTCCCATCAAGCTATAAGAACCCATTCTCCATTCCCATCTAAGTACATCAGCTTGTTCACCCATTCACATGGTATTACATTTAGCATACAGCTATGACGATATGACTACCAAATGTACCAATGTTACCATTCTTTCGTCCATTCCTCATTTTACTACATCTTTTCATCTAGCAAAGACCGCCCTTGGCCTTTTACACATTGTCTACATCATCTCATTTAGCTAAAACCACCCATTCATCCATTCTCCACTGTACTGCACTTTCACATCTAGCTACGATGCCCAGTCATCAATTAATATTCTGTATTACACTCTTGCATATAGCTACAACTTCACTCATTAATACACTGCACTAAATTTTTTCAACAGAATATAAGCAACACAATTTCACACAAAGTATTTAACTAGTTACCTAATCTGGGACCGTAAAACTTCAACAAGTACAGTCTTTGTATTCTAGCCACATAATGTCAGTAGATACAAAAGAAATAGCTACCCGGGTTTTGTAAGAACAGAGGCAACTAACACAATCATTGTATTGTAGTAAAATAATATCACCAGACACTGTAAACCAGTTAAATGGGTTTGGTAAGTAAAGCAACGATAAACACAATCATTCTATTCTAGCAACATAATGTCACAAGTCACAAGACTCTGTTGAAACAACTACCTCGGAAAAACCCTCTGCGACCGAACAGGAGTTGAGATGTTTAAAAATACAATCAGCCTAACACTATTGGTAAGAACAACATCAACAAACAGTCATTGTATTCCAGCAAGGCAGTGTCTCGAAGCACTATAGAACTATTTACCCGAGTTTGACAAAGGTAACGGCAAACCAGGAGACTCAGTTGATGATGATTGTGGAGTGGTGTCTTCACTGTTGATGTTCTCTTCTCCGCTCACGTATTTGTCACGGGAAACCCTGAAACGATAAGGTTTTTTGTTTGTATTTAAAAATAAAGTCTATATTAACAATATGACAAAGATCAGATAACCCATTGCATAGCTTTACGCTAAAACAAATATAAGATATATTTAATAAATTCTAACCAGCTGGTTGTAAAACACTCGACCTTATGATACACGAACCTTGTGCTTTAAAAACCACTTTACAGTAAAATCTAGTGAGATACTAGTGTTTATTTTCTTATTGATATATGATGATGATATACAAGTACCATTTACTTAAATGCTACTCATATTAAAGAATACGACTCTTTTGTATAAACACAAAAATCATTCAATATTCTTTCGTGATATCTGTCGGCAATTTGACATATGGATTTTCATAAAATGTTTTTGTTATAGAGCCATGAGAAACCTATTTATTCTGTATTTCTAGAGTGTTCAGATAATATGTAATTGTTTGGAACTCCAAGTATTATAAACTCCAATCCCCGTGTAATTTGATGTAACTATCTCATCATGAAGAATGAAGGCAATATCCCTCTTTCATTTATTTTACTTTTCGTTCCTTTATTATTAGTTAAGCAACCGACACCGCTGTAGTTTTCTGTTACTTCTATATTATCGTCCAATTAAGGTGCTTGTTATCATTATAGCCAGTAACGTGGTACTAAATGTAGAAAAGCGTGGTCGCCTTTACCTCCCCCTTCCCCTTCTTCGACGGAACAGTTAACTGAGAAACTACTTATTCAATGTGGTTACTGCATTTAAAATTAATTAAAAATTCAGAAAATCATTGTTTGAGGTATACGAAGTATAGTAGAAGTATTTGGAAGATCAGAGACCTTTAGGCTAATTATAAAAACTATCATTTTATACAAAGCGCTCCATATTAGAGACATGTTTACAACCCCACCGTTCTTATAAGAAGCTAACAATAGAAATAATCTGCATTTTAAATATGGGAACAGCCCTCCCCACTGCACATAAAATTAGGGGTCGGTTCTCCTCGTGATCACACAACACACACACACGACTATGCCACTGATTTAGCCAAGAGTGACGGATAAATCATTTATATCAAATTTCCTCATTTAACTTTCATATCCACCCCCACCCCCACAATTACTATTGTTCCTTTTTCTGAGCTTATATTTGACTTCATAATGTATACACTTAACAGAGTAAAAAACTACTAAGGTCGGAAATTCTATAATAGAAGGGGGAGGTGGAATTATCATCTGATTTCTTAATGAAAAAAAATGTTGTTCATATAATTTATAAAGATTTTCATTTTGTCTCCGGATTTTGATATCATTGTTGTTAAACTAACAATTCTTTCTGCAAAACATATCTGAAGTTTCAAAGCTAACCACCTTATGGAGCACTCTCACTGTATAAAACACTTGGACCGAACCGCCTAAAGACTATCCAAATTATTGATCAAGCCATACAACTTTAAGTGTATTAAGAGGTCTAACGAACGGTTGTATTTCAGTAGGTCTTATGAATATCGAATAATATGTACATATATTGTCCTTGTACTCCAACAACAACACAACGTCACAAAACCCCGTAGAAACAGTTCTCAGTGGCCTTGCCAACATAATAAACCAACCATTGTACTTTAGCAACACAGCGTCACAAACCGCTTTAAAAAACGTTCTCAGTAACCTTGCTAAAATAACAAAACAATGAATGTACTTCAGTAAAATAACAAAACAATCACTGTACTTCAGCAACACAGCATCACAAAACCCTTTAAAAAACGTTCTCAGTAGCCTTGCTAAAATAACAAAACAATGAATGTACTTCAGTAAAATAACAAAACAATCACTGTACTTCAGCAACACAGCATCACAAAACCCTTTAAAAAACGTTCTCAGTGACCTTGTCAACCCTAGATAAATACAATCATTGTACTTCGAAACCCCGTAGAAACAGTTCTCAGTGGCTTTATCAACCCTAGATAAGAAACACAAAATATTGTACTTTAGCAACACAACATCAAAAACTCTGTAGAAAACGTACTCAGTGGTTGGCAAGACACGACTGCATAAAAAGAAAAACTTTACACGTATGGTTAAAACTAACAAATAATTATGTATGATATGTTTTTAGTTCTCTTTTACTCACCATAATGAATCTATGTTTATACCTAATTTGAAGAATATGTAGTATTTATGCTATCAATTTGTTGTTCTGAATGAATCAGCAGACAATCTGTTTAAAATACTAAAAATGAACGTGAAGCTCAAACTATTACTTGATTCATCACCTTTCTCTGGGTTATACCAGTTTAAGGGAAGTCACCCTTCAACAGTAACCCTGGACAAGGGCAAATCGAAAAAACAAGATTGGGATTAAAAGTTATTTATAGCAACCAATGATGAATTAATTCATACAAGTTCAAGCAGCAATTCAAGAATTGATTCTGAATAATGCTGAACGAATAATATGTAGCTTATAAATACGTTTATCTAAGTGAAATGGGTACAACAAACGGAAATAATGGACCTGCAGAACAAAAGTATAATGTAGTAATGCAACTTTTGGTTAGAGAAAAGGAGTTCAATAGCTCCAAAGAACTGTCACTCGCAAAACGAGTGATTATTTATAATTAATTTTGCTTTTCTCAAACTATGCGAGACGCAACTTTGTTTCTAGCAAACGTAGCATACACTACTTCGAGATTACTTTTATTGTTTGTTTGTTTTAACGCCAAGCTACACATTGGGTTGCCTGCACTCGGTCCACCATAGGGAATCGAACCCCGGATTGTAGCGTTGTAAGTACATAGACTTACCAGTGTCTCACCAGGGGACTATTTCTATTTTGATGACGTGAAATCACGAATGAAAAACCTAAAAACACTAATAAGTAACTGTAATGTTTTAAATAATAATTTTCAAAATGAAACCTTTAGATTTTTTAACAAGCATTATGAGCGGTAAAAAATTAGGCTCACTTTTCAAAATTAAATGTACATGTGATTAAAAAGTTAATACCTTTATCAAAATTAAACATATAATATGTAGTCGATAGTTTACCTACCCGTAATGAATTACATTAAATGTGTATTTGGTCAAGCAGCTTGGTATCTCTAACACAGTTAAATATATATATGTGTAGTGCAGAGGTGAAGTACTTTGACTGAAATCAAACTTGTTTGTGATCAAGCTCTATCAATGACATTAAATTTATATATAATCAGCAATTGAAATATGTCTAGTGAAACTAAACGTGCTGAAGAAATGGGGATTTTTAATTAAATCTAAACGTGTTTGTATTTAAGAATCGTGGTACATTTATTAAATCTAAACGTGTTTGTATTTAAGAATCGTGGTACCTTTATTAAATCTAAACGTGTTTGTATTTAAGAATCGTGGTACCTTTATTAAATCTAAACGTGTTTGTATTTAAGAATCGTGGTACCTTTATTAAATCTAAACGTGTTTGTATTTAAGAATCGTGGTACCTTTATTAAATCTAAACGTGTACGTAGTAAATAATTGTGGTATTTTATTAAATGTGTATGTGTTGAGGAAATGAGGAACATTTATTAAACTTAAACGTGCACGTAGTCAAAAAATGGGGTACCTTTATTGAATCTAAACGTGTATGTAGTTTCAAGGAATGAAGTACCTTTATTTAATACAAACATGTATGTAATGTCAAAGAATAAATACATTTATTTAATCGAAACGTATCTGTAGTGTCCAGGAAAAAGGTATCTTTACTCAATCTAAACGTGTATATAGTGTCAAGGAACGAAGTATCTTTATTAAATCTAAACAAGTATGTATTTTCAAGAAATGAGGTACCTTTATTTAATCTAAACTTGTATGTAGTGTCAAGAAACGAAGTACCTTAATTAAATTTAAGCGTGCATGTAGTGTTAAGGAACGAGATACCTTTATTTAATAAAACGTGTATCTAGTGTCAAGGCACAAGGTACTTTTATTAAATCTAAACATGTATGTTAGTGTCCAAACACTGAGGTACCTTCATTGAATCTAAATGTGTATGTAGTGTCAAGGAAAGAGGTACTTTTATTTAATAAAAATCACATGTATCTGCGACAATACCCAAAAATATGTTGAATAAGAACATTTTAGAATCACTACAAATTCCAACAAAGTAAGCCATTTTTGATTCTTAGTTCATTTCACCAGTAATTTTTATTTTATTCATCACATATAGTTAACTACAGCAAATGCACCTAAATTGTTGATTAGATACATATTTAAATTTATTAATTAAAGGTACTTCACTCCTTGACACTACATACACGTTTAGATTTAATAAAGGCACCTCGTTCCTCGAAACTATATACACGTTTAGATTTAATTAAAGTACCTCATTCCTTGAAACTACATCCACGTAGTGAAAGGAAAATATGCCAATACTTAAGTTTACCTCGGTTGCAAGTTCGTTGTTTCTTCCCCATCATCGTCAGGCCTGGTCCTCTTTACCTAAAAACAATACAGACAAAGTATTAATTTATCTAATTATCGTTATAAATATCATACATACTTATGCTTCATCAGTAACCAGACATGATCAGTGTAAAGCAGACTTATAGATATCCTTCATATACGGTACAACGTTGATCTGTGTCCTACTTCATTTCCCTCTTCAGTTAGTTCCATTAATATTATTGTTTATAAAAATGTTTAACATGATTTTACATTTTTTATTAATGTTTACATGTGTGAAGATTATTTTGCATTATTAACTTGGTTAATCCTAAATCTCCTGAGCTGGCGATGTCTCTTAAGATGTTCTTATGATAGCATTGGAAACTGTTCATTGTGAAGGCATCGAACTGGTGATTCAGTGTATGCTGATCATTTTAGATTGTTTTTTATAGGCTTTTGCTTATGACAGTACTTATTTCTAGTTACTTTGTTTTACAAATAGATTTCATCAATTTATAAGTCATTTTTAGTTCTAATCTATAAAACTGGTTTACTTTCAACTAGAAGTTCTTAATAATCCAACAACTTGACAACTGTACTGTAATACACACATACATGATACTAAGAAATCACTTTGGATAACAAAATAGGAAATAAGATAACCCGAGTGCTTCCAGCAGGCACTCGACAACAGGTATCTTCTGACTGATGTACAGTAGTATACATAGATATCCTCTATACAGTAGTACACAGATCACAGACGTCTCCTAACTGTTGCACCTTATAACTAGTGGTCATAACAATATAAGGAAGATGACATATTGTTCAGCGACCTCATATAAAAAATAAGTTAAGAAAGAAAAGTACAGTTATAAATAGAAATAATTGGAAAGAACGTTACTAGTTCATAAACTAAGGAGAAATAGAAATATTAGTAGCTAACCAAAACAAGGAAGAAAAACTAATATTTGAAATAACTATAACAAACGGTTGATGATATAGACAAACAAGAAAATTAATAAACCTCGTAGTATACTTCAACAGTCAAGTGATAATAATAAAATCACTATAGAAACGCGTCCTAAAATAAACAAAATCAAAATTTAAACTATTTAAAGTTTGTCTTAGAGACATAAATACCAACGAAAATCATATGATAAATAACACAATATAATTCAAATTAGTAAATCAATTATTGTAAATGGTACGTGCCCTTTAGGGTATGCCTTAAAACAAGACCGCTAAAAGGGAATAAGTAACTTATCTTTAACCTTAATACACGTTATCCAAAAGAATTGACAAATTTTATAAATTAATTTAAACAATCACACCTTACTTCATACTTCTATCATCGATTCACTTACTAATTCATATTACATTGTGTTGTATTTATAACTTGCAAATAATTTCTTTTGTAATGTCACTCTTCAGGATTTTAAGCAATTACTGTGAGTCTTTTTAAATCGGTCTCTACCAGCTTTGTACAATGGGATAGTGTAATTTTTGCCCATTCTTCCCGGCAAAATTGCTCCAATTTCGACAAGTTAGTTGGGGATCATTGATGGACTGCAATCTTTAAGTCTCACCATACGTTTTCTATTTGATTAAAGTCAGGACTTTGACTGGGCCACTCCAGGACATTCACTTTCTTATTCTAAACCACTCCAGTGTGCCTTTGATCTTGTGCTTCGGGTCATTGTTTTGCTGAAATGTGAATTTTCAACCCAGTTTTAGATTCTTAGCTGACTCAAGCAGGTTTTCCTCTAGGATTCGCCATCCATCTTCCCCTCAATCCTAATAAGCATCTCCACAACATGAGACTGCCACCACCATGCTTGACAGTTTGGATGGTGTTGACTAGGTGAAGTGCTGTGTTGGACTTGCGCCAGATGTAACGCTTTCAATTTAGACCAAAAAGCTCAATTTTTGTCTCGTCTCACAACAAAACCTTCTGCTAAATGTCTGCAGTATCACTTACATGGTTTTTTGGAAACCCCATACGAGAATTAAGATGATTCTTTTTCAGTAATGGCCTTTCTCTCGCCATTCGCCCATACAGGGACCAGGATATTGTCGATATATGAACACTGACTCCCATCTCAGACACGAAACTTTGCAAATCTTTCAAAGTCACTTTTAGCTTCACAGTGGCATCCCTAACCAGTACTGCTTGCCTGGCTGCTTAGTTTAAAATGGTGGCCTGATCTGGGTGGTATGAAGCACATTCAACTTTTTAATGATGGACGTCACCGTACTTAAAGGGATAATCAGCAACTCTGAAATTTTCTTGTAACCTTCTCTTGATCTTTAATTCTCTATCACTTTATCCCTGACTTGTTTGCAAAGCTCCTTGCTCTTCATGGTTGGTTTGTCGTATCACTATGTGAGTTGTGGCTTAAACAGACGCATTTACTCTAAAGTCAAGTTAAAACACTTTGATTACACCCAAACAGAGACCATTGCACTAATTTTGTGACCTTTCAAATTAACCTTTTGCACCTGAACTGATTTAGAGTTTCCGTAGCAAAGGGGTTGAATACTTATGCAATTGTAAATATTGTAATTTTCTTTTAAAATCTAAATTACATAATATCAGCGTTTCTTTTTCCCTTTCTCAGTATGAATTAAATTGTGTTGATTCTCAATATAAAGTCACATTTGAAAGTTTTATGATTGCAAGCTCAGATGGCAGCAAAACGTGGAACTTTGCAAGGGGGTAAATACTTTTTCAAGGCACTGTATAAACACCTAGTCAGGTATAGTTTTCATGGTGGAACTTTCTGTCACAGATACTAAGTTGAACACTAACTACAAACATCTAGCCAGGTATAGTTTTCACAGTGGAATTGTTTGTCACAGATACCAAGTTGTACATTAACTTTAGAAATCTAACCAGGTATAGTTTTTACTGTGGAACTCTCTGTCACAGATATTAGCTGTAAACATCTATCCAGGTATAGTTTTCACATTGGAACTGCCTGTCACACATAATAAGTTTTACATCAAATATAAACATGTAGCCAGATACAGATTTCACTGTGGAACTCTCTGTCACAGATACAAGTTCTTTAAACACCTGTCCAGATGTAGAGTTTACGGTGGATCTGTCTGTCACAGATAATAAGTTGTATATTTACTACAAACATCTAGCCAGGTATAGTGTTCATGGTGTAACTCTCTATAACAGATACTAGGTTGTACAGTTTTGGCCAAAATGTTTGCATATTTTATAACAAATATGATCATTATTATTAAGATGGAATACAAATACACTTAGCGCTGTCAAACTGAGAAGTGCGTGTTATATTAAACATTTACATGTGTAATTTATAAAACGAGACAGGTTCTATGGACATCATGAACGATTAATTAGAACAGCAAACAATTTTATCAAACATCTGTAAAAAGATGGGTAATTGAGCATTTTACCTAACACAAGAAAACCTTATCAAAACATATATAATGGAAAATATAACATCAAATTATTATAAATAGCGTCTGTAATCTTATATCAGTTCACATTAAACATTCAGTACTTGGTTGGTCCTCCTCCTACTCTAATAACCCCCGCAAAGCGACGTGGCATGCTGTCAATGAGGTTATTGATGTAATCCACCATGATTTCATTCCATCTTGTCACTAAAAGGCACTGTGATTCAGCTACAGGAGCTGGTTTAGGGTCGTGGTTAGTAATTTCCCGGCTCAGTTCTGACTAAACAGTTCTCAATAGGATTACAATCTGGAGACTTTGTTGGCCCTAGCAATCTTGTAGCGTCCTCCTGGTCGAAATAATCCAGTATAATATGCACAATGTGAGCAGTGATATTGTCATCCTGGAACACAAAGTTAATGTCAAACCTTGCCCTAGCATATGGTAGAAATATCTTCTCTACGTGATGCTTGTAGAAGGCACCACTCACGTTTCCCTGGAGGATATGAAGAGCAGTTTTTCCACCATGATGAATAGCTGTCCAAACATATACTGCACCACCTCCTGTGTATTCATTGTAGGAAAGACCATCTTCCCTCATCTGTTCTCCAGGCAAACGACATGAACATGAATCCTACCATCAGCTTTCACAAGCCGAAAACAGGACTCATCTGAAAATATGACATGTCACCAATGTCCTAATTGTAAGTTGGCATGCCGTCTGGTCCAAGTAACATGGTAACGGCGATGAATTTTAGTTAATATCGGTTTGCAGATAGCTCTTCTTGCAAAATAGCCATTTGATCATACTATTCACTGTTCTTCTGGATACCCTGGAATGAATGTATTTCTGTCATTCCTGTCCTAAGGTGTTGCAAGACTGCTTTCGGTCATGACGTGTTAACTTGATCAAAACAAGGTCATCTCGGACAGTAGCTTTTCAGCGTCTACCAATAGACTTTCCTGGAACAATGTTTCCAGTAATCCTATGACGTTTCAGAATCTTGGATACAGTTCACTGGGGTTACCCTACTGTTCTGGCAATGTCTATTTGCTTCACACAATTTCTGAACAGTCGAAAACTTTGACTCCCTATAACTTCTGGTATGTGACGAGGCATGATTCTACATAAAGTACAGAGAAATTGTCTGAACAAAGCGTTGATCAGTTAGAAAAAAAAATTATACCAACACGCCCTTTTATACAAAACAGGTGTGTATGTGTGTTTTGACGAACAAATGCTCCAAACAAGTTATACAGGCCAGAATAACAACTTGCACATATTTGTCCGATCATATGCTAACTTCTCTGTTACTACTCGGGTATTTACTCAATAACTACTCCATGTATGCAGACAATAACATAAATATAGAACGATATGCAAACATTTTAGCCAAGACTGTAAATTAATTTTAAATATATAGCCAGGTATAATCTTCACGCTAGAACTGTCTGTCACAGTTAATAAATTGTATATTAACTATGAACATCTGTCCACGTATGCCATCGCAGAGGATTTGTTTCCATAGTGACAGGTGTTTCTCGTAGATAATCCAAAGTTATATATTCATTATAAACACTTGACAATGTATTAACCATATACAATTTATTACGTGTATCACCA